TTGATATGTATTTCACGGGTTAATTAATTCTTCTGTTGTATTACAGTAAAATTTCTACAGTCCTGAATCTTAAATCATCTTCCCACCTAGTTTCAGTGTTATCACACTTCTTTTTTTTCTTTTGTAAATTGATACATGATGTGGGAAGCAAGGGAATAAATCATCATTGTGTGCTAAAATCTTAACTGTAGAGAAATTTGTTAGCTTTGCCTTCTTTTTGTTGTAGTAATTACTAATTTCTTTGCTTTAGGTTTTGTGTACCCTGAGAATATCATCATATATGAAGATTGAGATTTTTAGATTAATTGTATTTAAAACAAGTTAATCATCAATATAAGGCCAGGTTAAGACATATTTTGAATGAAAATTTATTTGTTTTTATAGGCTCCAAAACCAAGGAAGGAGTGGTTCATGGTGTGACAACAGGTAAGCTCAATGGGGCTTATAGCAGAGGGAAAATTCAATAATATATAATAACTAAAATTGCCCAGCACTGATGATTCAGAATGCAATTGTGCCTGTAGAAGCATTCTTATGGTACGTCGGCTTTGTTTAACCTTAATTCTGTATTAAGTATTTTTAGATAAGTAAATAATTATTGTAAATATATAATACTATAAATATTATAAATATGAAATAAATATTAAATTCCAAGAATAGTGACTTTGAATTCACCAGCTATATTTAAATTGTAACAGTTGGTATTTGAGTATTTTGATCAACAATATTTTGGAAAGCTGCCAGCATATATAACACATAAGAATTGACATTTTCCTCAACATTAAAGTAAAATTTTCAGTAAAGTATAAAAGTGCCTAAGGCACTTGACTCCTAACCAGAAGGCTGGCAGTTCAAATCTACCAGCCACTCCTCAGAAGGAAGGTTGGGCCATCTATGTCCATAGTGACACTGCCTCAGAAACCCAAGGAGGGGTCACTATGAATCAGGTCTAACTCGACAGTACATAACAACAACAAAATATAAAATATTCTGAACCCTAAACAATAGTGATTATAACATTTTTATGATGATTCAGAAGACATTTTAGGAAACACTCTTGTGATGATCAGTAAATAGTTTATTGAATTTATCTCTACTTGGTCTAATTTCACCAAGAATTTGAGTAGGCCTACAGGACGATTAAGCTGCTCTTGTGGTGTAGTGGGTAAGGCATTTGGCTGCTAACCAGATATTTGGGGGTTCAAACCCACCAACTACCCTGCTGGAGGAGGATCTGCTGGAGACAATCTACTTCTATAAAGATTTACAGCCTTAGAAACTCAATGGGGGTTACTATGAGTTGGAATATATTCAGTGGCATTGGATTATAGGAAGATTGATTGACACAGTGGTGGAAACAATGGGCTCACATATAGCAATGATTGTGAGTATGAGGCAAGACCAGGCAGCATTTAGTTCTGTTGTACATGGGATTACAATGTGTCAAAACCTGCTTGATGGCAATTAACAACAACAACATCATAGGAATATTTACAATAAAGAAATAGCAAATGTTAGATAATGGTGGTGGTGATGATAAGAGGAGGTGGAGGATGTTAATGATGGAATTAAAAAAATCAAAAGAGAACTAAAATATAATAGCCTTAAGAGCTCACAGACTTGTTGTAATTGAGTTCTTGTTGTCTTCATGCCAAGCTTCCGGACTAGTGTGGTGAAACAAGATATAATCAGAAATATAATTCATATGATCAGAAAGCAGTAAACATAATAGTGCCTGGATGAAAGTAACATGTTTCCAACACTGAATTATAAAAGTTAAAGAGAGAAAATCAAAGGAAAGTTGTGGTTTAGACTGCAAACTCTGAAGATAAACAGCCTCGGTTCAAATTTCTGCTTACACCTTACTAGCCATGTGATCTGTAAAAATTTTAACCTCTATATAATTCAGAATCCTCACATATAAAACAATTTACTGAATTAACATGTGCAAAGTGCTTAGAATACCTAAGGCAAATAATCAAAGCCAAACTCACTGCCATCGAGTTGGATCGACTCATAGTGATGCCTCCTTGGGTTTCTGAGGTGGTATTTCTACAGGAGAAGATTGCCCAACCTTCCTTCCAAGGAGTGACTGGTGGGTTTGAACCACCAGGCTTCTGATTATTATATAGACGTAACTTATTATCACTCCAATGGCAGCGTGTTTTAGTGATCTTGAGGAAGGTTGTTTTAGGTGCCCATAACACTCATTATCATTCAGTTGTGACCTCAGCCTACTGGAAGAGATCCATGTTTGTGCCTATTCCAAAGAAAGGTGATCAAATAGAAAGCAGAAATTGCTGAACATTATCATTAATATCACATGCAGGTAAATTTCGCTGAAGATAATTCAAAAACATTTGCAGTAGTGTATCTCCTAGGAAGTGCCAAAAATTCAAGTCAGATTCAGAAGAGCATGTGGAACAAGAGATATCATTGCTCATGTCAAATTAATCATGGTTGAAAGCAGAGAATAGCAGAACAATGGTAACCTGTGTTTTATTGACTATGCAAATCATTCACTGTGTGGATGAAAACAATTTATGGATAACATTGCAAAGAATGAGAATTCCCAAATACTTAATTGTGCTCACTTGGAACTTGTACACAGACCAAGAGGCAATCATTCAAACAGAACCAAGGGAATACTGTGTGACTTAAAATCAAGAAAGACCTACATCAGTGTTGTATCCTTTCACCATACTTATTTAATGTGTATGCTGAGCAAATAATCTAGGAAATCAGACTATATGAAGAAGAACATGGTATGGGGATTAGGGGAAGACTCATTAACAACCTGTGATGTGCAGATGACACAACCTACCTTGCTGAATGTGAAGAGGACTTGAAGCACTTATTGATGAACATCAAATACTTCTGTATGAATTACATCTCAACATAAAAAAAGAACAAAACCCAGACGTCTTCACAATTGAACCACTAATCAACGTAATGGTAAATAGAGAAACCATTGAAGTTGTCAAGGATTTCATTTTACTTGTATATACATTCAACACCCATGGAAATAGCAGTCAAGAAATCCAACAATGTATCACATAGGGTAAATCTGCTGCAAAAGTCCTCTTAAATGCTGAAAAGTAAAGATGTCACCTTGAGGACTAAGGCACACCTAATCAAAGTCATAGGATTTATAATCACCTTATATACATGTAAAAGCTAAACAATGAATAAGAAAGATTAAAGAAGAATTGAGTTGTGGTGTTGGTGATGAATATTGAATATACCATGGACTGGAAGAAGATTGAAGAAATCTATCTTGGAAGAAGTACATCCAGAATGCTCGGTAGAAGGGAAACTTTGTTTCACATACTTTGGACAAGTTATCAGGAAGGACCAATCTGTGGAGAAGAACATCATGCTTGGTAAATGGAGGGTCTGTGAAAAAGTAGAAGACTCAATGAGATGGATTGATGCAGTGGCTGCAACAATGAGCTCAAACAGCAATGATGTGAAGATGGTTCAGGACTGGGCAGTGTTTGTGCTGTTGTACATAAGGTCACTATTTGTCAGAACCAACTCAATGGTACTTTTTATCACTTATATAACAATGTTTATTATCACCATATAGTGACCTTCCTTGAGCTACATTTTTACAGTTAGTGGAGAAAAGTATTTCATATGATTCTTTTTATGCATTCTTTGATAAAAATGAGGGTGTAAAATTAAAACAGAACCCTTTGAAACCAGTTCTACTAAAAATTAAGTTTAACTGTTTCATAATGCATAGTCCATATAAGTACCATTTACATTTCCCCCCTCTGAAATTTCTGGAAGCTTTTTTCCCCTATATATGGTATGTGCTGGCATTGAGTGGAGACTGGTGTAACAGAAGAATGTTTGTTAAAGACATATTATTGTGTTGAGAAGTTATTGTATGAGGTGGTACATCCTGGAGGAGTGACTCTGTTTCTTTTGGGTTCTGTACAGCAAGATAAAACTTGTAAGTACATTTACTATATCCTGTGTGTTATTGGGAAGGTGTGGAGTTCAGGATTAGGTAATATTCAGGTGAGTATTTTTTTTCCATGCTTTGTCCCTGTCTTACCCTCATAGTCCATTGGAACATGTGTTCCACATAATGTTTATCAAAATCCATCACACCTAATAAAACTTTAAAATCACTCAATGATTCAGCATGTATTCCATTAACAACAAAAAACTTAAATGTTTCAGTTTGAAAGGGTTAAGTATACACCTTTTATTTGCAGTGTTGCAATTCAATATAAAATGCAGAAAACCAAAGAAGTAAATGGATTGTCTTGCCTTGGAATGACCTTCTGATAAATATGGTGATATTAAGCACGATTTTAATGAAAACTTGATAGCAGACAGTTGGAGACTATGCTATCTGAGGAGGTGTGACCTAGACAATGGTGTTTCATTTTGATAATTGAGGGAGAATCCTTGTAGTTTTAGAAAGCAGATAAGCAAGTGGCAAGCTTCAAAGCCTGTAGTAAAAATTAAAGAGTCCAGTTAGTACTATTATCTAATGAAAGTTAAGAAGATGGTCTATAAGATTAACAGTTGAAAAAATAAGTTTTTTTCATGGGAATATTTTGAGTCTTCTCTACAATGCTAGAATATAAACATGAGTTTGAGGATACACATGTGTATGTAAGTATATAAGAGAAAGAGAGGGAGAGGAAGAGACAGAGACCTGAAGTTTGTACAGTAAGTCAACATTTTACAGTGTTTTCTGAAGAAAGTAGCCCACAATTTATTTTTCCATTGTCTTACAGTGTTGAGAAATTTAGAGATTCATTATAAACATTAGCACATTAAAGAATTTGAGATGTTCTTCAGTTAAGAAATATGGATAATATAGTTTAACCCAGAGTTTCTCAAAAGTGTTTGAGCATTGAAATCTTTCAATAGTTACTAGAGTTGAATGAAACTAGAATTCCCCAGACATGCTGCTAAGCAGCAAGACCATGATGATTTTGATGTGGGCAATATTTGTCGAAGCCATTTAGCAGTCAGCCATCATGGAAGTAGAAAGATACCAAAATGTTTTACTATAAAAAATACGTTGAGAGATATCAACTGTTATAAGTACCAGCCTTCTCCCCTAGCAGATGAAGGAATTACTTAATTTGGTGAATGTTATTGTTGCTGTAATGTTCTGTCGAGTCCGACGCGACTCATAGC